TTGCTGCAAACTATGAATTGTTTTCTCACCATCCCACTTCTAAAACGGATTTTCGTGCTAGTACGAACATGAAATCCACCATTTGCTCCATAGTTTCTGCAATATTGCATTCCAATTTCCAGATTCTCAAATAGCATGCCAACTTTAGGTTTTACATCTTCTTTGACAATTGGTATCCAGTACTTTGTTGAATTTGGTGATATCACCAATTGAAATTGACATTCCTCATGTGTAATACCTATTGCAAAATATCATAAAAAAACATTATCCTTAATAATTGCAATTGCAAGGTTATTTGTATCGTGTTGCAATGTTAGTTGTATGTTTGCTGCTAGGTTAGTTATATCTATTTGCAAGTTTATTTGTCTCTTGTTGCTAAGTTAGTTGTATCTTGTTGCTAGGTTAGTTGTATATTGTTGCTAGGTTAGTTCTCTGATGCTGCTAGATTAGATATATTTATTTTCTAGGATAGTTCCCTGATGGTGCTAGGTTAGTTGTTTGTAGTTGATAGGTTAGTTGTATGTAGTTGCTAGTTTAGTTCTCTGATGTTGCTAGGTTAATTCTTTTTTTTTTTTTTTTTTTTTTTTTTGACAAACAACGCCCCGGAAGGGCAGGGGATTGGGCTGGATCCCCAACCTGTGCATAGATCAGGGCCCAAAATCGGGGGCTCAAAATATCAACGAGCGAGGTACAATAATCTACAGAGTCTCACTAACCAAAATCAAAAACAAGAAACAAAAAGAAAAACCGAAGAACGAAAAAGAAACAAAAACTACAATACAAAGTCGATCTTCGGGCTAACAGATGCCCAAAGTAGATGTCTAGACTAATGAAAGCAAAAATCCTAAACTACTGAAAACGGAACGCTGGATATCCTAGCTGGTCCATCCGTACAAGAGTGCGAAGGCGGAGTGGAGCAGTGTCGGTCTGAAATGTATGTGTGTCTGGTATGGTGGCGCCAAGGCTGGCCAGATAGTCGGCAGGTCTGTTCCCCTCACGGAAAATGTGCGTGATCCTGTGATGGACAGACCGGAGTAGAGCTCTAATACGCATAAGCGGGTGCTGAATCTGCCACGAGCCCTGGTGGCCCGAGGTCAAAAGGATGGCTACAGCCGCAGCGTCTAGCTCGATCCAAATGTGGCTAGAGAGGTGGACAGCAATCTGAAGGCCGATTTGTAATGCCTGAATCTCTGCATCATAGGTCGAGGAGGCCTGAAGGGACGCGTGGAAGGCGGTGATGAGGGCGCCGCTATGGTCTCCTCCTACGGCAACTCCAGTGTGGCGATCAAAGGAGCCATCAGTGTTCAGCTTGACCAATGGAGAGTCAGGACGAAGCCAAACAACAGCTTTGGGCCGAGGGTGCCGAACAGGCAGTGGTGGGGCCACCATGTAGCGATGTGGTGGCGTGCAGCCTGTCCAGTCTCGGGCCATGAGCCGGAAAGAGTGACAGATTCGGTTTGAGAGAATCGGGCCTTCACCTTGTTCCCCTCCGAGCGGATGATGGTCCCGCAAGCATGTTCGTATCCCCCGTCAAAGGCAAAATCCTTGGGTGTCGGAGGGGGGGCGCCCGACCCGCCCTCTCTCCTCCCCGTAATGGCTTCTCAGAAAGAAAGCGGGCCAGTGGTGGTTGCCGGAGGAGGCCCGGCTTCATCGTTGGCTGCAACGGGGGTCATTGACAGTGTCCCGATTGGGGAGCGTCCGGGGCAATGTGTCGCGGATGTTGTGTTTGGGCCCGTGTCCACAACACCGTCTTCACGCGCAAGCAAGACGACTGGTTCTGGGTTTCCGGCAGCAGAAGAGGATATTCCGGCGAGTCGGTCAGTCGGGGGTGTTGACTTCGGCCACGGCCCGAGGATGCCGGCCGAAATAGACGATTTTGGGCATCTCCCGGGGGCGTGCCGGCTGACTGGATTTTTCCGGTGTCCACGGAGTCTCCGGCGCCGGCATTTGGCCAGTGAGCTTCATCGGCCGATTGATTGGTTGCAGCATGGACGATGGGTTGAGGTGATGCCTGAGAGTTGACATCCTGGGAGGAATTGTTGTCGGGCTGTGTGGTTTTAGTGTTGGCGGGCTGAGAAGATATGGGCTGGGTGGCGGCCTTACGGGGTTGTGGGGATTGGGTTGTTATGTCTTGAGAGGTAGTGGGCTTATCATGCTGGGGAAGAATGGGCCCAAATACTGGTAGGTTCAAATGTGGGTTGGTGGCTGTGATAAGTTGTGAGCTGTGGCCCAGGGAGATGACAGACTGATGTAGGTTGGTAGGGATTGGGCCAGAGCTGCTGAGTCCCAAGTGAGGCCCAAGAGGATGCAACTTCCGTCTTGTAGAGTTGATGGGGCCCGACTTGTTTTGAAGCTGAGGGTTATCTGGATCGCCGCCTTGGAGAGTTGATTTTTATATAATCGGAGATGCAACTTCCGATGGCAATGGTCCAACAACTACCGGACCCGTGCTACCAACCGGTGAGCTGCCGACGGCGGATGAGTTCTCCTTGGGGCTGTTCAAAGAAGGCGGCAGTTCTTTGACTGTGGGTTTACCGGAGTCAACGAGGGGTAACGAGGTTGAGGACCTTTTCAGGTGTAAGTTGGATTTGTCGACTGAGCTCGTCGGTTTGCCGGAGGTTGACGACGGGATTTCTCCCTCCTCCATATTTGATATCAAAGGCAACAGTT